TGTTTATCGAAAGCCCGCCTATACTCGCCAACTAGTCTTCTAAATCCTTCGATGAGAATTTTTGTAACTCTGCAATTAGTTTTCAGGTGTCATACACTATCACATATCTCTGCCGGAGTTCCAACTGTCACCAATTAATATCTATCCCCTCTTTTATAATGGAAATTTTAAAAAATTCAAGGGAATCGAAAATATAGTACGTACGTATAAAAGAGCGACAGAACACAGAATATTATGCGACGCAAGTTTGACGTTTAAGTATTTGTATATGGTCCGTCAATTTCGTGTTTCAAACAGTAAGGCGGTTTTTATTATTGCTGTGTTATTTTTCTCACTGGTCTCTTGTTGTTGTTTACTTTTCTAAAATACTTCGGTGGTGGCAACTATGCTAGTGGCGGATTTTAACTCTATTGCAAACTGGAATGCTGTGAGCTTTCCTTTTAACGTCAATTTTGTTTTCGTTCATGGACGCATTCTCTCATTTCGACCCTTTGAGATCCGAACTATTTTCAAATTTATTCCATTATATTACGCTTAGATGCACCAGTTATAACATTTCTTAGGTGCCCAGTGATGCTAACAGTCCAGCTACGAACATACTAGACGCACCCATAATTTGTCAACAGGCATGCTTTAGGATTTAAAAAGTATTCTGGATATTTGAATTGACGGCTCTTTAAACAAATGGCAAAAGGTGAAGGTTCTCATCCCAAAACACTGCCGCACCACTTTCGTATGAAGTCACAGACATCAATGCAACTGGCATTTCGTGCAACGTTTGCAGCATTTTGCAGACGCTTCCAGTCGTCCTGATTGGCTACTCTCTTCGGATCCGAGAAGGCAATACCGTTTCTTAGCACAGGATAGCCGGTCACAACACATGGCAGAGCCTTCAAACCAGTGCCAGGAGCCTTCAAGGCTGCGACGTAGGCTCCTCTCTCGTCTTTTGGTAGAATTTGTTCCAATTTCTGGTCCATGGACATAGCAAGGATCCATTCTCTTACAGCCTCGTGCTCGGCTTTGGTGGCGTAGGGCTCTTCGGGAATAGGCACTTCCAGGGGAATATCCGCGTCCTAGAAGTAGAATAAAGCCGCAAACATAATATCAGGCAAAACATAGTTGATATCTGCAACGATAGACCACAGTCACTTATTATATTGATTTCTGTGGCAATTGTATATAATCACAGCCTGGAAAACTGCCAGAGCAAGAAGTTTGAAACCTCTCAGTCAAGCTAAGGTTTAGACTGTTTCCTATGGTTTCTCGCCTACATCTATCAGCCACCGGAATTCACCTGTTCTTCCCTCACAACATGGGCGTACTGCTTAGAAGGACAGTGTCTTGTAGTGAGAGTGGAGCCAAAGTGGAGAGTAACCTGCATTTTTTCAAGTAGTGCTAAACTAAATACGTGTGTGCGTAGTGCTCCCTAAACGAGCCACATTATAGATGTGCTGGATCAGCATAGGAGTCGGCCAGAGTATGACAGGAGTTATTTGGATTGCGCTTCCATAACAAATGCCGAAAATGGGGTGGGGAGCTTTGGTG